ATTCTTTACCACTGACTCACCAGGGAAGCCCTTAGTGCCCCACTACCAAGATTTTTGCTTCCCGTTCTGGAGACCTTGTGCTCTGTTGGCACAGAGGGCTGAATTACAGAAAGAATGACTCCACTGGGAGATAGACCAATTATTCCATTCAACTGGAAGGTAGACCCCTGCCCAGCCATTCTGGGCTCCTCATGCTTCTGGAAAAAAGGCAGAGAAGGTCATTATGCTGCTGGCTACAGGTGACTGATCCCTACTACAAAGGGGAAATTAGGAAGAGTATATGTCTAGAATACAGCTGATCTCTTAGAATTACCATGTCCTGTGATTAAGATCAATGGGAAATTACAAGTTAACCCAGACAGAATTACTAATGCCCCACACTCTTCAACAATGAGGGTTTAGATCATCCCATGAGAAAAAGAACACAACCAATCGAGGTGCTTCCTAAAGACAAAGGGAATACAGGATGAGTTAGAAGATGGTAATGATAAATACTAGATATAACCACATGATCAAATACAGTAAAGAGGACTAATTGTCATGAATATCTTCTTATTGTTATGAGTATGTGTGTGCATGCACGTATACACATATATATCACAAATGTCTTAGTTTCCTTTCCCTTCTTATACCTTTATCGTGTAACATAAGACATATTAACTTATTATATCTTTACTTACATCTGAAACAATATTTAACTGCTGTTAATTTTAATCATACTATTTAATTTACAGGATAATCAAGGAGAAGAACAAACACCACTCAAGGATATTATCTCCTCATCTAAGAAAGAGGTTAATGCATAATTGATGGTAGTTATGGTAGCTGTATTATGTTAGGTGGGATTTTGACCTTGTTATTCTTTATATTTGGAGAATAAGTATGAGTTTAAGAAAATACACATGGGTGCCAAGTTGGTCTGTGACAGTGAGTTTAACAAATCAACTACACTGGGTAATGGCATGTTCAGATACTTGGTCCAACATTATTCTAGATGTGTCAATAAGGGTGTTTAAGGATGAGATTAACATTTGAATGTGTAGACTGAGTAACGTTTACTGCCCACCCTTATGTAGGTGCTGCTGCTGCTGCTAAGTCACATCAGTCGTGTTCGACTCTGTGCAACCCCATAGATGGCATCCCACCAGGCTCCTCCGTCCCTGGGATTCTCCAGGCAAGGATACTGGAGTGGGTTGCCATTTCATTCTCCAGTGCATGAAAGTGAAAAGTGAACGTGAAGTCGCTCAGTCATGTCTGACTGTTCCAACCGCATGGACTGTAGCCCACCAGGCTCCTCCGTCCATGGGATTCTCCAGGCAAGAGTACTGGAGTGTGTTGCCATTGCCTTCTCTGTTGTGCGGGTGGGTCTCATCCAAACACTTGAACAGAAAAAAAGACAGAACTTCCTGTAAGCAAAAAGGAATTCCACCTGTGTGACTGTCTTGAGCTGAAGCATGGCTCTTTTCTTTCCTTCAGACTTGAACTGAAATGATGACTCTTCTCGGGTGTCAAGTTTGATTGCTGTCAGGCTGGTACTCGTATACTATTGGTGCTTCGGGTTCTCAGACCTCCAACTCAGGCTGGAACTACACCATCAGCTCTTCTGGATTTCCAGCTTGCCTGACTGCAGATCTTGAGACTTCTCAGTCTCCATAATCAAAAAACAATTCTTAATAAATCTCAATCTCACCAATCTGCCCTTTTCACTCTTTCTCTATATATACACAAATACACTTAGCTATCCATTCTCTGTAGAGCATTAATGCACTCTCCAACTAGTTAAAGTGAACTAGATCATGAAAGGCCACAACTGTCGCCTGAACTGTGACCTCTTCTGTAACACTCTAAGCTAGATTATGTGGCTTTCTTTTGTGCTGCCATAAATAATGCTGCCATTAATGATACTGTTATCATATGCTAAGTTGCTTCAGTCATGTCCGACTCTTTGCAATGCTAGGGTCTGTAGCCCACCAGGATCGTCTGTCCATGGGATTCTCCAAGCAAGCATACTAGAGGGGGTTGCCATTTTCCTTCTCCATCATATACTTGATCACTAATTTGTATACCTACTCTTACTTAGTTCAGTAGACTCGCTCAGTTGTGACCGACTTTCTGCAACCCCATGGATTGCAGCACGCTACACTTCCCTGTTCATCACCAACTCCCAGAGCTTGCTCAATCTCATATCCATCGAGTCAGTGATGCCATCCAACCATCTCATCCTCTGTCAACCCTTCTCATCCTACCTTCAATCTTTCTCAGCATCAGGGTCTTTTCCAGTGAGTTGGCTCTTCGCATCATATGGCCAAAGTATTAGAGCTTCAGCCCTAATTCCCTCCTTCAGCATCATTCCCTCCAATGAATATTCAAGATTGGTTTTCTTTAGGAGGGACCTGTCAAGAGTCCAAGGAACTGTCAAGAGTCTTCTCCAACACCATAGTTCAAAATCATCAATTCTTCAGCACTCAGCTTTCTTTATAGTCCAACTCTCACATCCATAAATGGCTACTAGAAAAACCACAGCTTTGACTAGATGGACCTTAGCTGGTAAAGTAACGCCTCTCCTTTTTAATACACTATCTAGGTTTGTCATAGCTTTTCCTCCAAGTAGAAAGTGTCTTTTAATTCCATGGCTGCAGTCACCATCTGCAGTGATTCTGGAGTCCAAGAAAATAATGTCTGTCACTGTTTCCATTGTTTCTCCATCTATTTGCCATGAAGTGATGGGACCAGATGCCATGATCTTAGTTTTTTAAATGTTTAGATTTAAGCCAGCTTTTTTACTCTTTCACGTTCATCAAGAGGCTTTTCGGTTCTTTGCTTTCTGTCCTAAGGGTGGTGTCATCCGCATTTCTGAGGTTCTTGATATTTCTCCCAGCAATCTTGATTCCAGATTGTGTTTCATCCAGTCCGGCATTTTGCATGATGTACTCTGTATATAAGTTAAATAAGCAAGGTGACAATATATAGCCTTGACATACTCCTTTCATAATGTGGAACCCGTTTGTTGTTCCATGTCTGGTTTTAACTGCTACTTCTTGACCTACATATGGATTTCTCAGGAGGTAGGTAAGGGGGTCTCATATTCCATCTCTGTAAGAATTTTTCACAGTTTGCTGTGAGCCACACAGTCAAAGGCTTTGGCATGGTCAATGAAGCAGATGTTTTCTTGGAATCCTCTTGCTTTTTATATGATTCAGCGTATGTTGACAATTTGACCTCTGCTTCCTCTGCCTTTTCTAAATCCAGCTTAAACATCTGGAAGTTCTTGGTTCACATACTGCTGAAGCCTAGCTTGGAGAATTTTTGGCATTACTTTGCTAGCATGTGAGAAGAGTGCAATTGTGCAGTAGTTTGAACATTTTTTGGCATTGCCTTTGGGACTGGAATGAAAACTGACCTTTTCCAGTCCTGTGGGCACTGCTGAGCTTTCCAAATTTGCTGGCATATTGAGTGCAGCACTTACACAGCATCATCTTTTATGATTTGAAATAGCTCAGCTGGAATTCCATCACATGCACTAGCTCTGTTCATAGTGATGCTTCCTACCTATTCTATGGAATATAAAATCCTTGATGGCAGCAATATAGCTAACGTGGCTTCACATCACCAATACCTAACACAAACCCTGGCATATAGCAGGTTCTGAATAAGTATATATTAAGTCATTTTTATAAACCTTCTAGTGGTAGGTTGGTAACATTCAATTCAGGAAAAATTATTGCTAATGAACAAAAGCATGTCATTGCTCTCTGTCAAGGAAGAGTCTCAGCATGAAGAAGCTAATACAGGGTTGCTTTCCTTGATGGCAGAAATGCTCTCATTTCATCCTCTAGGGCACCAAGAAGCCACCAACAAATCACGCCTGGGCCATGGTTATGCATCTCATTTGCAAGAAAGCTCTTGAAAAAGCATTGCTATTTGCAATTATTAGTTGTATGAGTCATATGACTATCTCCAAAACAAAAATACACAAGTAACTGGACACTGAGACAACTGTCAACAATAACCCTTGATGGACTTCTGTTTTCAGTAAAACAGCATCTATTTCTTGGCTTATGTTTTACTTTAGCTTCAAAGATACATTTATACTGATAAAATGAAATTGTTATCTATTTTCCTTTGATTTTAAAAAAAGGAGTATTGCAAAAAGAGTTGAAAACTCCCCGTATAATTTACAAAAAAAAAAGATGATTTAGTTTTACAGTTGGACAAACCTAAGTCTGAAACTTTTCTTTTACTTAATAACTGTGAGCTTTTAGGCAACTTACTTAATCTCTTAGAACCTTGTTTTCCACCTTGTCATATCCAGGCAATATCAGTAACTACTCTGGCACATTATGAGGAGAGTAAAATAGCATACTTAAAACATTTATTATGGTTCCTGGTATATAGTAAGCATTTAATATCTGATCTATTAAAATGACTAATACCTCATTATCTGCAATGATAATGAAGACCTAGGAAGAAAATGAAGGAATACGAGAGATATTTCATACCTGAAATATCAGTTTCAGGCACGTATACACAGTTTGAAAAAGCAGCTTGAGTATACTGAATTCTAGAAGCTATAACACCTGCGAACTCAGGTGTCAAAATATCTCAATCTAAAACAAATGACAGAGCATATGAATCACATATAGTATTCTGGTTGGAAAGAGTATCACAGTGCTATGAAAAAAACAGGGTCTAAAGATTTCACAACCTTTGTTACCATCAAACCCATTGTTAAGCATATCTAAATAGGTATTTGCTATTAAAATTTAAGTCATGGTATTAATACTACGAGGAATCCTAACTTTTCACATAGCATTCAATAACATTCTGCTAAATTTGCCAAAACTTCATCTCTTGGCTTATATTTTTTATTAAAACATGTATTAACTGAATTTAGTTATGGAAATCTCTTATGAAACAATGTGATGGGAGAAACAGCATATGACACAATTTATCAAATTTCATGTGGCTAAGTGAACATGAAGATTAAAGCAAGCTGATACCTGCTTAGAAAGCGCTTTCATGTGACCTACGCTTCCCCGGCAGTATGCTTCAAGGATAACACCAAATTGTACTGAAACAGCAGGAATGTGTACTTCAGATCTGCAAAAAGTTAACAGGAAAGATTTATCAAACACTTCAGGTCCCCAAATGAAAACACTTCTTTATTCTATTATGAAATTAACTAATGATTCTTATAAAATAAAGAAAGAAAAAAATTTAAAAAAAAAAGAGAGGAAGATCATATCATGTATACAGTCACTGGTTGGATGCTAAACTTTTAATTCTTTAAACACTGTAGTTCAAAAAGATATGGGATGTTAACACTAGTTAATTGTTTATTCCATGAAATCCAAAGTTTTTACATCTTGTTTTTTGGAGTGAAATGATATTATTATCAATTTATAGACAATTGAGATGAAATAGATCTGACTCATATCACACAACTAACAGATTCCTCAAGTGACTACTATTTGATTTTTTTCTCATTTAAAGAATGGTAAACACACTTGAAAAAAGAAGGAATATCTTATTCTGTTATTCCTTTGAGGATTTAAAAATAAGATTGAACTAGATGAGAAAGAAGATAAATTAAAAAGTTAATAATAAAGAAATCAAGATTCAGAACTATAACCCCTAAAATTACATCAAAATACTATACAGCTTATTTTCTTTAAGAAGCTTAGCCAAAGAGGTGAAAAGTTATCTTTCTCTGTTACTGATTAGCTTCAATAATATGAAGTCCAGGTGGAAAAAAAATCACAAATGTCTGAGTAGAGTCAGAAACAAAGAAGTGAAAATCTTGGCAGGAGGGGGGATTGGGATGGGGAACACATGTAAATCCAGGGCTGATTCATGTCAATGTATGGCAAAAACCACTATAAATTGTAAAGTAATTAGCCTCCAACTAATAAAAATAAATGAAAAAAAAAAATTAAGAAAAAAAACCAGGTTGGTTTAACTATAACAGATGTTTCAGTGCAGCTCCAAAAGTCTTTATAAATACAGTCATTTGGAGAGGTGGTCCTGGTCATGGATCAGATTATTCCTTGTGTTTCTGAGAACAGTAAGAAGGGGGAGAATTGTGATCTTGGGAATATGCTGCTGCTGCTGCTGCTAAGTCACTTCAGTCGTGTCTGACTCTGTGCGACCCCATGGGCTGCAGCCTACCAGGTTCCTCCATCCATGGGATTTTCCATAAACTTGGTTTAATAAGACTGATGTATTTCTGAAAATGACCTTGTCAGTAAAGAAGCTAAAAATAAAGTTGCTATTTTAGGAAAACCTAAAATCTTTTATATATGTGTGTGTGTGTATATATATATATATATATACATATATACACACACACATAAAATTTTATTTATTTATTTTTTGGCTGTGTTGGGTGTATGTTGCTGGGTGGGCTTTTCTACAGTTATGGTGCATTGGCTTCTCATTGTGTTGGCTTCTTTTGTTGCAGACCCCGAGTTCTAAGCTGCACACACTTCAGTAGCTGCTACTCCTAGGCTCTACACCACAGGATCAATAACTATAGTACACGGGTTCAGTTGCTCCACGGCATGTCAGATCTTCCTGTATCAGGGATTGAACCTGTGTTTCTTCCATTGGCAGGTGGACTCTTTACATCTGAGCCACCAGGGAATCCCTAAAATCTTTACTTACGCAACAGTAGCAATGATGATACAACTATCCACAACCCTTTCGAGGAATAAGTAAGTATTTTTTAATCCAATTATGTTAACCCAGTAAGGATACATTACTGGAAAATAGCAATACTTATAACCATCAGTAGTAGCAGTAAAAATTACTATGATAAAAAGTTATTAATTACTGTTAAAAATCAAGGAGGCATAGAGGGACATTTATCTGAGTTACACTGCCAAATGAAAACTAAGAATCTGGGTATTGAGAAATAGGAGAAGACACCAGGAAAGCATAAATGTTATCGATGACTCAGAAACAATGAAAACAGCTGGACTATTCTGCTAAATATCCTATATTATGTTGATTAACACTTACAAAAGCATATAGTGGACTCAATTTGAAATATAAAACACTTACCTGAGGTGCCAAAATAAAAACTGCCCTATCCTCCGATTAGCAAGTGCTCTTTCTAGTAGGAATCTAGACAAGGCACAATCAAGAAAAGGCTCATATTTTAAAACTTGCACCAACTGTAAAAGATACTGAGAGAGTTCTTCATCACTGAAAGAAANAAAACTTGCACCAACTGTAAAAGATACTGAGAGAGTTCTTCATCACTGAAAGAAACAAAATACAGAGTAAGTCACTCAACAATCAGAGCTGGAAAAAGACCCCTTCTCACTTATCAAACTCCAAATACTAACTTACTGAAACAGTCGTTCTTTGGGGTCAAGCTTGTTGCATGCTGTACATTCAGTTTCACAACTACACTAACACAAGATAAGTTGAGGATTTCTGGTGGGCAGAAGAGTGTGTGAAAAGGAACAAAGAACAGCTATATGGGGCACTTTCAGTAAGTTAACTAGGTTGATACAACTGATGACTGTATTTACAATCAGCCCAGAGTTATAATAAAAATAGTTTTCTGATCATGCTGAAGAAGTTTACATACTCAATCAACCAGTTTTTTAAAATACAAATTCCATCAGTACTTCAGCAACTTAATTTTCCTTTCCTGTCAAAGGGTTAAGTAAATTTTGCTCCCAGATAATGAATGAACAATTAAAATCTTCAAATAGTTTGAAGAATAAAGAGTGTGTTTATAAGTTGGAAGGACTCAAGGAATTAACAAAACACTATAATTAAATGAGCTGAATTAATTAAGATTGTGGCTCTCTATTTTGTATCTATCTCCAAACCATTCACATGTAAACAGTCTCATTAGAGGCAATTCTTGTAGTCAGGTTAAGATACGTATCTCAAGTCCTCTACTTGGTGATTTGTCTTGGACAATAAATGGTTAAAAATGTAGTCTAAATCAGATGTGGAACCTAAATCTAGGACATTATTCACCTAAAAAAAAAAAAACCTCATAAGTAGAAAATTTAACACAGGAAGACACATTAGAATTACCTATTTGAAACAAGGGATCACAACAATCTCTGCCTGCTGCTGCTGCTAAGTCACGTCAGTCATGTCCGACTCTTCACAACCCCATGGACTGTAGCCTACCAGGCCCCTCCATCCATGGGATTTCCCAGGCAAGAGTACTAGAGTGGGTTGCCATTGCCTTCTCCCAATCTCTGCCTAGGGGTCAATATATTTGAAAAAAACAATTGGCTCATTCCAAGGAGGTGGCCAAGTAGACCCTACCCCTCAGGTATCCAATGCAAACTTAGGGAGACTGAGGAACAACTGGGAGCCTCATTTTTAAAAACTATCTTAAGCTTACTGTAAAACCCATGCCCATTATAAAATCTATAAATAGTGTAAACGACAGAATTATAAAAGAGGCTTCCTCTATCCTCATACTGAAAAAGATGTCTCACAGACATACCTGAAAAAATGTTTTGTATAATTTGTTTTGAATATCACACAATTTAGAACATAAATGATTTATTTTAAAAAGTAAAAAAAAAAGTCACTATATCCTTAATTTTCTGAGAAGTTTTGCTTTTTAAATCATCATACAGAGACTTCCCTGGTGGTCCAATGGTTAAGATTCTGCACTGCAAATGCAGGGGGGGCAGGTTGGACCCCTGGTCTGGGAACTAAGATTCCACATGCTGTGCGTCACAGCCAAAAGAAAAATATAAACCATACAGTACAACCCCTCATCTTGAGGCTAGAAGGAAAATGGAAAAAAATTTAAATGCTCATTGTCTGAGATTGTCTCCAAATTGATATTTTATCAAAAAAATCCCACAGATTCTCACACATGTACTACCCTAAAGGGACTATAGAAACATGTTCACTGTAGCATTGTTAACAATGGGAAATTTAATCGGGTGGAGAGGGAGGTGGGAGGGGGGATCGGGGTGGGGAATACATGTAAATCCATGGCTGATTCATGTCAAAGTATGACAAAAACCACTACAATATTGTAAAGTCATTAGCCTCCAACTAATAAAAATNCCACTTATCTGTTTTTTTTTCGGTACACAGAAACAGAGACGGGTCAAAAGAAAGGAGAAGCACACGTGCAATTACTAAGGCCTCAAAAATCCATTATTGCTAATATAGGTTAATAAAAAGATGATCTCTGCTGACGTATTCTATAGGTAAGCAGGCAAAAAGCGATTATGTACTTAGCTGGAAGTAGAATGACACACTGAGTATATGAATTCTAGTCATTAACCATTAAAAAATTTTTAAAGGAAATAAAGGCAGGGCCAAGAGGAGAGGAGAAGGTGAGAGGAAGGGGAGGAGAGAGAAATGACCAAAAAATACTTAAACGCCTTTGAGGAAGGCTAAAGAGGGAGGGATATATATACACTTATAGCTGATTCACCTTGTTGTACAACAGAAATCAACACAACACTGCAGAGAAAGTATCCTCCAATTAAAAATAAATTTTTTAAAAAAGAAATACTTAAAAGTAAAATTCAAAGTACAAATATAAGCTGCAAGACTCAAACTAATAAAAGGCAATTTACATATAAAAAGTACATTAATAAATCAACATAAAATTATCTTGAGTTTAAGAGTACCTATCACTTTATAAAACTTTATTGACTACAATACATTTAAATCCTTTAAATCATAGTAAGTTACCCATAGGAAATAAATAGTACCTAGTTTACTAAATACAGCCAGTTTCCCATCTACAGATGCCACTTAGAAATTATCGAAACATAGGATAAAAAAGCATTCCATGGGGGGATGACTTGGGAGTACCAGTGAAGGCTGGGCTCAGATGGACATGGAAATCTAAGTTCCAGAAAACCCAAATTTCTAGAAAGGATTTTATCTGCCTCCCATCAGAATGCAGTGAGACTCATCAGAGTTTCCTTTTATGGTTTCCTTTTATGAAGGGTTGATTTTGTAAAGAGTCCCTTCCTCCTCATGATTTTGATATGCTTATAGCTTACATTCTTACCGCAGAAGGGAAGTGGAAAGAAAAGTGGATATGGAGGCGAGTGAAACACTTTTCTGATAATTATGAGTTATGGCTGTCCAAAGCTCACCACTATATGACAAAGTCTTATTCCTTAATTTCTAATTTATATCACTGGGTTTTCCTGGGTATTACTTAAATAGCACTGACATCAAGAGCAAGAAAGAAGCACAACATGTATGTAAGACCAGAGAAATTAATTTTAAATTGCTTTACATTAGCAGAAAAAAATAACCTTTTTCAGTAAATTTTAGAAGTTGATTACATTACTATTTTTAATATACATTTACATAAATTACTAACTTGGATATAAATGTGCAATTTACATAATTAATTATGTCAAAGTTATTCAACAAATACAGTGAAATGTTACTTTTTACATTTTAACTTTTACCTTAAATCTTGATTCAATTATTTGTAAACTGCTAAAGAAAAAGTTTACCTCTTATACTTGCTCTTTCAATGTATACAGTATATGTACGCATACAGTACATAGGCAGATGAACATACACTTATCTGTGGTATCAAAACCCCATGGGGATAGGGCTATTAGGGGAAAAATATGTAAAATGCTTCCTAGGAGGGTAATAATGAGAAAAGATTGAGGAATATTGGTTTAAAGATATGCAACATCTACCTCATCCCAGGTTTTATCACCCACTTTCTCCAAAACTCTAATGGACCAGTAGTTCTTCTTATATAGATAAGGGGGACTGTTTCCTAAGGAACTAATAGTTTAAAAAAACTCCTAGCATCCGCAGTTAACACATGGAATACACTGCTCCACAAAAACAATACTGGGATACATGTTATATAGTACCAGAGGCTCAACTATGTTATGGGTTAAAAACAGCCCTACTACTGAAAAGTAATTCTCTTAGCATGTTATTTAAAATTATTAAATTGAAATACAAACATTAAATTACAAACACTCATCACTTCAGTTTGATGAAAGCTATGGAAGCAAACAGGGAAGGCAAATCTGATTTAACCAAATAAATAGTGAAACCAAATTAGTTTCACTATTTTCACTATAGTGAAATTAACTTCACTATTTTCACTATAGTGAAATTAACATGTAATTAATTATTCATCTACTGCAGAGACGATTGAATTAATTTCACTATTTATATGGCTATTGAAATCCCTTCTGCAGTATGCTAAAAGAATACTTTCTTGTGGATTAATGGGAGGCTAATCTGTTACACAATTTTCACCCATGGCTTATACCTTCAGAATCACAGTAAAATTAGCACCAGGTTCTGACTCTCCACTTCTCTTAGGCAGCCAATTTAAAAAAAATTTTTATTTCTTCATTTATTTATTTTTGACTGCACTGTGTCTTAGTGGCCGTACAATTGCTTTCTCTAGTTTGGTGAGTGGGGGCTACACTCTAGTTATAGGGCACGGGCTCTAGGGCGTGTGGCTATCAGCACTTAAGGCTCTTAGGCTCTACAGAGCACAGGCTCAGCAACTGTGAAGAATGGGCTCAGCTGTCCCATGGCATGAGGAATCTTCCCAGCCCAGGGATCAAACCCACGTCACCTACATCATCAGGCGGATTCTTAACCAAGTGACTACTAGGGAAGTCAGGAAATCAATTTATTGATGGTTTATATTCTCTTCTACCAGATTAGTGTAACTGGCAATGGGATAGGACCAGGGAGAAAATAAAACACACTATTTTTTTATTCTTTTGCTCTACATTTCTAGACTACTAAAAGGGGGGCTTAGGATCATGAAATTCATGTCTTCCTGTACTTGCTGCTGCTGCTGCTAAGTCGTTTCAGTCCTGTCCGACTCTGTGCGACCCCACAGACGGAAGCCCACTAGGCTCCGCCATCCCTGGGATTCTCCAGGCAAGAACACTGGAGTGGGTTGCCATGTCCTTCTCCAATGCATGAAAATGAAAAGTGAAAGTGAAGTCGCTCAGTTGTGTCCGACTTCGCAACCCCATTGACTGCAGCCTACTGGGCTCCTTCATCCATGGGATTTTCCAGGCAAGAGTACTGGAGTGGGTTCCCACTGCCTTCTCTGCTTCCTGCACTTGTCTATACACATTAAAATTTTTCTTTTTGAGTATTAAGTTACACTACTGACTTTTTCTACACAATGGAGGAAAGTAACTTACATCTGAAAACTTNAGTCTTAACCAACAGACTTCCAAAGAAGTCCAAGTCCTAGCAGCTTTTATTTTAAAATGACCGTGTACGGAGAAGGAAATGGCAACCCACTCCAGTATTCTTGCCTGGAGAATTCCATGGACGGAGGAGCCTGGTGGGCTACAGTCCATGGGGTCGCAAAGAGTCGGATATGACTGAGCGACTTCACTTTCACTTTCAACCCTCAGCTGAGACTTTCAGCTCTTGTGTTTGCTATTGATTGTTTTCTTGAGTTCTCAAAGACCTGTGACCATAATTTTTTTAAGTTGCCTGTTTTCTAATTGCATCACTTTACACACTGTTGTCTAATAATATGTGGTATTTAGATTGCCTTCTTAATTATTTTGAGCAGCCATTGCCTGTATTTTCTTAGTACCTCCTTGGTTTTCTTACGTGAACTCATCTGACAGGGAAATGCAGCTTTTTTGTTTGCCCTCTCTGCATACTGGACCATCTGAGTCAGTGTTCTAACTAATCCCTGATGGTCTCTGAGCTACTGTTCTACCAGACTCAGTAGTTATGTACTTCAGGAATTTTTCAGTAGAATTGGTCCTATTAGGAGACTCTTGGTGTCACCTTTGTTATCTTAAAAGCTGGTCCCATCGCTGAGGTTCTTAATTTTTTGAAAACTTGATTCTATTTCAGCTGAAAATTGGCAAGGCTCTTTAAAAAATTGAGGGAAGCCATTTAAGAAATTGAAAAGTAATCGCAAACAACATTGGGTAGTTGTGACTTTCAGTTCTTTATCAGTTGAATTTTTGTGCTCTTTTTCCTGTGTACGTGGTGGTTCTATTTTTCTCCAATAAAAATTTTATTTAAAAAAAAAAAAAAATCTGTGTCCCTGGGGTTCAAATAAAGAAATATTAAGCTTGAACTGTCTTATTCTATTTTCTGACAGCTAGAATATAAAACCTCTGTTTCAGATATCTTAAAGAGTACAGCAAGAATTGTTTTCTATTCTAATTCTATTCAAAATAATAAAATGACGTATTTCTTGGATAGGAACTTGGAGATGAACACTATTCATGAGAAATAGGCAAATGTGCCAACTAAAAAATTGTTATATCTTATATTCAATCATTTTGGGGGTTCACAGAAAACTAACCTTGAATTTAAAGAAATAACTGGTTAGATGACAACTATATCGGAACAATTAAAATCTAGCTTTAAAAAAAAGACATCTGACAAAAATAGCTCCTTTTCAAAGTAAGTAATGGTCATGTGGCCTAACTGTATAAACAGTTTAAACAAGGCATATTCTATAATTTTGTAGCATGATTCCAAAAAAAAATGTTAGACACCAGGAATAAACTCAAAAGAAATCCTTTCTAAACTTAATTTGAGAAATAAAATAAAGCAAAGATCTTCAAAATATAAGATTCAAATAAATATGTATTTCTCAACTAAATTTAAGTCATTATAGATTTAATAAAACAAGAAAAAATGTAAAAGACCAATTGAATTCAAGTAAGTAAGGTGAATAAATGTGGTTCTCTTAATATACCAAATGTATTCATTCTGATTAAAAAATCATTTCAAGAATCTTTCTGGAGAAAATTGATAACCAAATGCATTTTGTAACGCCACTGCTTTTTCATAGGTTGTTGAAAATAAAATCAAGTAGCTAAAATCTGGTGGCTTCTTCTGGATCCAAATTTTTTTTCCTTTTTTCTATACTGCCTTTTAAAGGCGAACATTCATCAACACTGCCCAACTTTAAATAAATCGTAAAAGAGATGTTTTAGATCATTTAATTTATGATCTAAACCATTAACTTCTAAAAATAGAGGTTAATTTCAAATAATATATATGCATTTTAGACATTCGTTGCAAAGGGTCTTAAGATGAAAACCTAGGACTTTATTGATAAAGCTGGTAAAATTAACCCAGCATCTACCATATGCTGGCAGAAATTATTCCAAGACCTAAGTTTTAATTATCTTTAGTAAAGGACATAGAAAACCTACTCAGAATTTGGGGTTCTGAAATCTTAACAACATTCTGGTCTAACATTTAGATTAAAAGATCTAAGAGTTTAAAACCTGAAAACTGCAGAAAATTATCCAACCAATGGAAACATACCTTTGTAGGAAAGGACAATTTACGTGAAATCAATAAAGTAATGTAACCACCAAGTGGAGTTACAAAAATGATCTCTTGTTACCTGAGCAACATCCTCAAGTTTATTCCACTTGATCGACAGCAGCAATTTCGGCAATGCATGTGGGAAATTCTCTCTGCAGTCTTGTCGCAAAGTCCAAATTAGATCCATTTCATTCTCACACAGTTGAGACAATGGATCCCTGTCCAAGATTTCTTTCAGTACAGCAAGAAACTTCTTTCCACCTCGACTCTAAGAGAGCAAAATTACTGGTTACAAAACTGAATCGTGTAAACATAACTGGTAAACCTTGAACACAGGGGTTAGGGGCACCAACTCCCAATCAGCAGGAATTCCCTAAATCCGTGCATTTAACAAAACCACAAATCATGTGGTACTGTAAAATGTGTATATTTTTTAAAAATTCACTTGATCTGCATAAGACAAACCCATGTTGTTCAAGGGTTAATTATATTATGAATTTTGAAAATAATGAACTTTAAAATGTGAGATGTGAACAATTTAATTCATTAGAAAGTTGGAGCTCCCTTCAAAAGTTTCATTAAGCTATTAAATTTGTAAACTAAAGATTAAGGAAAAATTATTCTTAGTTTTTTTAAAAGAGAAAAAAAAAGAATCCTCTTTTAAAGGCCATGTACAAACACTAGGTGGCAGAATTGCAATTTGGATTAAAAAGAAGTCATATTTGAACTGAGTTTCTCATCTTTTTAAATTTTTAATTGCTACAAAGAAAAAAACAAACTTAAAGATGAACCAAACCTATGAAGATTTTTTAGAAAAAAGTAATAGGTGCCTTCTTAGCTCTGAGGCACTGAACCATTTAGACTAAGAATTGAATCTTGGCTAAAATCAAACATTAACAAAAAAAAAAAAGCTATCCCATTTTCTTTAACAATCCTTATAAGAATATATTGAAATGAAGAAAATGGACCATACTGTTTGTTCAATTCAGACTCTGAATTGAGACTAACATGAAAGAAAAGATACATTTTCCCAAATATAAAGAAAAACTATGCCATTTAGGCAAAAACGTATCTCCCTTAGCCCACCCCCTCAAAAAATCTCCAGAACCATCTGACAAGATTGTGTAAGGATTTATTAACATATTCTATTAGTTTGTCATTTCGTACTTGAAATTACTTTAGCTGGGATTTCATATCAACATTAAACTGAATAAATCAAACCACTAACTTTCTAAAGTAGTGAGATGCAAAATAGTACATGCATATGTTAAAAAGAATTAGGATAACACAATTCCCCATATACAAAATCTGAAACAGTCAACGAAAACACCATTAGAACCAATAAGCAATTACACCAAGTGTGGGATACAAGTTTAATATGTAAAAGTAAATCATCTTCTTATGTATTAGCAATACACAAGTGGAATTTAAAATTGATTAACACAATGCCCTTTACATTACTACCCCAAAATAAGTAAACAGGTATAAAGTTAACAAAATACATATAAGATCTATATAAGGAAAACTGCAGAACTCTGATGAAAGTAATCAAAGAATTAAATAAATGGAGCTATATTCCATGTTCATGGATAAGAAGACTCAATACCGTTAGTTTTCCTCAACTTAATATGAATAGAATCAATTCTAACCCAATTAAAATCTCAGTAAGTTACTATGTGGCTATCAAAAAACTGATTTTAAAGTTTATATGGAAGGGCAAAAGACCCAGAAGAGTCAACACATTATCAAAGAAGAAAGAACAAGGTTAAGGGCCAACACTACATGACTTAGGTAAAAATAAATGTGAAATACAAAACTATAAAACTCTTAGAAGAAAACAGGAGAAAATCTAAATGACCTTGGGTTTGGTGATAACTTTTCACATACAACACTAAATGCATGATCCATCACTGAAATAATTGATAAGCTAAACTTTCCCGAAATTTTAAATTATCTGCTCTGCAAAAGAAGATGTCAATGGAATGAAAACACAATCCACAGAATGGGGGGAAATATGCGCACATATCTCATAATAAAGGACTGGTATCCAAAATACACAAAGAATTCTTAAACCTCAACAGCAAGAAAACAAACAATAGAGAAAAATACAGATCGAAGACCTGAAGAAACACCTCAAAAATAATAAATACAGATGGTAAAATATATACATATATATATAAGGAAATCAGTCCTGAATATTCATTGGAAGGACTGATGCTGAAGTTTAAACTCCAATACTTTGGCCACCTGATGCAAATAACTCACTCATTGGAAAATAACCTGATGCTGGGAGGGATTGAAGGCAGGAGGAGAAGGGGACAACAGAGAATAAGATGGTTGGATGGCATCACCAACTCGATAGACAAGAGTTTGAACAAGATCCGGGAGTTCGTGATGGACCGGGAAGCCCAGTGTGGTGCATGCAGTTCATGGGGTCACAGTCGGACTTCACTGAGCAATTGAACTGAACTGATGATATATGGAAAGATGTTTAACATCACACGTCAGCAGGGTTGTACAAATTAAAACAAAATGAAATATGACTACATACCTATTAGAATGGCCCAAATTGAAAACACTGACAATATCTAAACCTGCTAAGGATGTGGAGCTACTCTATTCAATGCTGATGGGAATGCAAAATACTACAATCACTTAGGAAGACTGTTTGGCAATTTCCTACAAAACTAAACACTCTTACCACACAATCCAGTATCACGCTCCTTGGTTATTTATATTTACCAAAAGGAGTCAAAAGCTTATGTCCATATAAAAACCTGTACATGGATGTTTACAGCAGCTTCAGTAGGTGAATGGGTAACTAAACGGATAAACTGTAATACACAAAATGGAAAACTATTTAGCACTCAAGGAAATGACCTGTCATGTATGTCACAAAAAGACACAGAGAAACTTTAAACGCATATGACTAATAGAAACAAGACAATCTGGAAAGTCTATATGCGAAATGGTTCCACTACAACATTCTGGAAAAAAGCAAAACTATGGAGACATTAAAAAGATCAGTGGTTGCCATGGATAGATATGCCATTATGCATGTGTGCATATATGTTCAGAGTGTCCAACTTGCCGATCATATAGATTTTAACCACCAGGCTCTGCCCAAGGAATTTTCTAGTCAAGAATACTGAAGTAGGCTGCCATTTTCTCCTCCAGGGAATCTTCCTGTTCCAGGGATCAGACCCACCTCTCCTGAGTCTCTAGCATTGGCTGTTGTTTTGTTTACCACTGGACTACTTTGGAAGTACTGTATGTCATTGTACATTTGTCCACACCCACAGAATACAGAACAGCAGGAAGGAAATCTAAGGCAAACTATGGCCATTGAGTAATTATGATATATTAATATAGATTCTTCCCTAGTAATAATGTACCATTCTGGTGAGTGATGCTAATAAACAGGAGGCCTATATACGCAGGGGCAGGGATATGTGGCAAATCTCTGTACAGTCCTCCTAAATCTGTTTTGAGTGTAAAACTGCTCTTAGCAAAAATAAAGTCTTTTTATACACATGTGTCCATATTCATAGAGACACAAACTCTAATCTCGCCCCCCCATGTATGAATTATAGTGGGTTTAAATTCACAGCCTCAATCTATAAATGGTAGGCTTTATTTCACAAACTTGACTGAGTTTCTTTGAAAAATGATCATGATAAGTAATCAGAATCCTACACTTACATATAAAAGTGAAAGCTCATACTGCAAACAACGAAGAATATAAAATGTTCATGCCAGAGAAAGGCAGACTGCTGTTGAGTTAAATAGTGAAAAAACCTAGAAGACCTATTATAATCTCATGGATCAAAATAAGACTTTACAGACCTGCTACAAGTAAATATCCTGAAGACATGGTAGTAAAGGAAGAGAGAAGAGCAATGAGTTAACTGTGTAATTGCACTGTGATTGTTTACTGAGCTATGAGAAGCACAGTACTGAATAAGTCCAAGGTAAAAACAAACAACTACCGGAAATGTTGCAGGAAGCAAAAAAAAAAAAAAAAACCACATAGAAACTTATATTCTTCTACACAACAATCAGCAATGAAAAATTATACTGCAGTGAAACCGAAGAATTTATACTCATATTAAAATCCTTCAATTTAAATAATGCTGGGGGAAAAAAATGAAAATTAACACCCATATTCTCTTTGTTTTTACATCTATATTTTTCAAATCATATACATATTATGATTTATTGACCAAAATAAAACACAACATATGTATCCTGCCATAAGCATATGAAAAAAAGATTATGGCTCTTTCCCCTTGCTCACTGGAGGTGGGGGGGTCATGGGTCTGGAAAATTCATCTGTCATATTCAGAGAGGCTAGAAACTCAAAATGTGTTAGCAATATGCTTTCAAAGGACAGAATTAACTATGCATTGGCCAGACTGGGGACCTGACAAATACAGCTGAGGATGAGACAGTCCATGCAGTCACAGTGGGTGGGACAGAGAGTGAAAAGACAGTTAAATGATTGGGAGATTGATTACAAACAGAGGATTGAGCAAATAAGTATGTTAAGGTTGATAGGAATCCAGATTACTCCCGTCAAAAAAGGTAAATTAAAATATGTTAAGGCACAGACTAAAAAGAAATCCTGTGGCAGTGAATCCATATTAGAGACAGTGATAAGAACTCGTGGTTTTTAGTAGATAAAGGAAAGAAACATATCTCGGTGCTTTTTGTTGTCGCTTAGTCACTTAGTCTGATTCTTTTACAACCCCATGGAGTGTAGCCTGCCAGGCTCCGTTGTCCATGGGATTTCCCAGGTAAGAATAGTGGAGTGGACTATCATGTAGTCCTCCAGAGGATCTTCCTGACCCAGGAATCAAACTTCCATCTCCTGTTTATTGGCAGGTGAGTTCTTCACCACTGAGTCACCAGGGATGCTCAAATATGCAGCCGAACACATACTGCCTAGCTCTGTTTCATGAAAAGACCTAATGCAATTGCATGCCAAGGACAATGAGAATACTGAATGCCCAGAATTGGGAATCTAAATACTTTTGACAAACAAAAGGAATCAGGACTCCCAGGAGGAATGACTGAAACCAAAATGGGCGTAAAGAAATCACCATATGAGCCTGGAACACTTTCTTGTACCAGAAAGAAGGAGATGCTCAAAGAATGATATCAACAGGTCAAACAGACACAAGATAGAACTTGACTTGCCACAGGCGAAATCTGGGTCAAATCTGCATATTGAAATTAACTACGTCATTAAATAAAAAATAAATCACA